GACCCAAAACCGTCTACACAGTGCATGGTGTACAGCATCCCCTTAGCCGAAATTGATTCTACTCAGCCCAATATGAGTTTTGGTCGAAGACGTGGGAAGAGCACACAGTCCGTCCATAACCGTCATCAGCCTAAGGGCAAGCCAGACAGTAAAGGTAACCCAACCCTTTCGGCAGACAAAAAGTAGTCAACCCCCTCCTCGTCCCGAGCAGAAATATGAAAGTTCTAGACTCCATCTGTATCTGTATCTGTATCTGTATCTGTATAGCCGGTATAACCGCCTTTCGGCGTAACACACCAGCTTCGCAGGCACGCGGCGCGGCGGCAGCTGGCTATATTACACCGATCGACTTGTTCCACCTAACCCTTGAACTTCTAGCTCTAGACATTGTTTAAAGCTATCTATTGACAGTGCCCCTACTGTACTTGGTGACAGTGAGTTCCACTCTGCGATAGTTCTAGGAAAGAATGAATTCTTGAACACCTCAATCCTTGGTTGATAACTCTGGTACTTGAATGCGTGGCTATTTCTTGTTCTCTTCTGGGCTGGTATTAGGTACTTAGTAGTTGGGACATCCACCAGTTTATTAGTCATTTTGTACATCATGCATAGTCTAGACATCTTTCTTCTGTCTTCAAGTGAGGTCCACTGTAGGTTTCTTTTCCGTGACACTAGCACCTCTTACATAGTTGTTCATACAGAATCTTGCAGTTTGATTCTGTACCCTTTCCAATTTGTCTTTGTCTTTCTTTGTATATGGATCCCATACTGTCGCAGCGTATTCTAGGTTCGGTCTTACAAGTGACGTGTATGCAAGTGATTTTACTCTAGTTGGACATGCCCACAGATTACGTTTAATCACTCCCAATGTCTGTTTCGCCTTAGTTGTGATATTATTAACATGTGCACCCCACTTCAGTCCGCTTGTCAGCGTGACGCCCAGATACGGATGGATTTTTGTGGTTGCTAAAGCCTGACATCAAAACTGGTAGCTAGTTGCATGTGGTGTTCGTTTGTTTGTTATGTGCATAATGTAGCATTTTTCGGGATTAAACTGCATGAGCCATTTGCTTTGCCATTCTTGCAGGGTGTTCAGGTCTTTTTGGAGAAGTTGTGAGTCGGTCTGTGTAGAAAGCTCTACATACAATAGACAGTCATCGGCAAATAACCTCACATTTGAGTCAAGCTGATCTGGTAGGTCATTTATATACAAGAGAAAGAGCAATGGCCCCAGGACAGTTCCTTGAGGGACCCCAGACGCTACTTTAACTGGAGCCGACGCCTTCCCTTCAACCACTACTGTTTGCTCCCTGTTGGTCAGGAAAGCCTTTAACCAATTCAGCGTAGGGCCTTGGATTCCATAATATTCCAGTTTTGAGATGAGCCTGCCATGGGGGACTTTATCAAAGGCTTTAGTAAAATCAAGTATTGCTAAATCTACCTGCCGTTTACTGTTTAGTGCGCCAGCTATGTCATGGACTGTTAGTATAAGCTGTGTTTCTGTGGATCGTTTGGCTCTGAATCCATGCTGGTAATCCGTTAACATACTGTAACTTTCTAGGTGCTTCATGATTTGGCTATGGATGATATGTTCAAGTAGTTTGCAGGATATGCAGGTCAGTGAAACAGGTCTGTAGTTGCTGGGGACCGCTCTATCTCCTTTTTTAAAGATGGCGCATATATTTGCATCCCTCCAATCTTTAGGGATTTCTGCAGTGTTTAGCGAGTGTTGGAAAATATTGGTTAGAACAGGCGCGATTTCACTAGCTGTCAACTTGAGGAACCACGGTGGTATTTGGTCTGGTCCGGATGCTTTAGAGGGATTGAGACCTTGAAGCATTTTTTCGACACCATCAGTAGAAACTACTATATGTTCCATTGGAGGAGTACAGGGCTGACCTAGAGATGGCATATCTGTGGTGTCTTCCTCTGTGAAAACACTTTTAAACTGTGAACTGAGTACTTCTGCTTTTTTCCCGCTGTCACTGATGATGGCATTTCCCACCTTTAGGGGTGCTACCCCGACAAGGTCTTTCCTCAGTCATTTTATGTACGACCAGAATGTTTTGAGTTTGTCAACTATAGCTTCTCCCAGTATGTCTGTCACGTATTTAGAGTGTGCTTGTCTTATGCTTTTCTGAACTCCCTTCTTAACTCTCTTATATTTGTTCCAGTCTTCCTCTTGGCCTGTTTTCTTAGCTTTGTTATAGAGCCGCTGCTTCTTACGACAGTGCCTCCTTAGGTTTCTGTTGAACCAAGGCAAGTTGTATCTGCTTGATGTTATCTTACTTGGGATGTGCTTGTTCATCGTGTCTTTCATTTTGTCTTTGAAGTCTGACCACTTCTGTGTAACTGACATATCCTGAGTTCTTTTGTGAAAGTTAGTTGCATAATCCGTTAGGTCTTTCTTAATGGCTGGTTCGTCGGCTTTTGTGCGGATGTACACTTTTCTCTTAGGTTTCCTGTTTTGTTTCAGTGCCAGGTTAACGTCCACTAGAACCATGTCGTGGTCACTTATCCCCGGGACTACTGTGGTCTTCTCAATTATGTTGGGGTTATTAACTAAGACCAGGTCCAAGAGATTACCATTTCTAGTTGGTTCCTGGACTGTTTGAAATAACCCGTGGTTATCCATTAGGTTTAGTAGTTTCTCTGCTTGGCCTGTGTAGGCCTGACTGTTGTCAGCTACAGTAGTATCCCATTTGATGCCAGGGGTGTTGAAATCGCCAAGAATGATCACATTGTCAGAGTTTATTTTTGCTCCCATTTTACCTATAGACCTGTCAAGTTCATCCAGACTATTGCCCTGGTCTGATGGGGGTCTGTAGTATGTACCTATTATCAGTGGTTTCCTTCCTGCAAGTTGAGTTTGTGTCCACAGAACCTCGCAGTCTGTGTCAAGGTCTGGCCTATGGGTAACAATTAGATCATCTCTGTTGGCCTGAAATACACCACCTCCTTGGCCAGTTTGTCTGTCTTTCCGGTGTGCTATGTAGTTGCTGGGGAATATTTCACTACTTGCTATGTTTTGGTTGAGCCATGACTCTGTACCTGCTACTATATCTGGCTTGTAAGTGTCAACTACTGTCGCCAGTTCAGCTGTTTTGTTCCGCACACTCTGACAGTTTACTAGGAGAAGTTTACTTTTGGATCTCTTGTGACTATGACCCTTCGTTTGAGAATTACCCTGCTTTGATTTAAGTGGAGTGGATGTAGCCATTGGGATTTCGTCTGGTAAACTTGAGTCAGAACTCAGCGTGTCAAATGAGTTTACTGAATGGAATGTTTCATCAGTGATATCGAATATGGCCGATGCAAAGTTGGGTATACCACAGTCACAACATACCCACGAGTATGATCGGTGGGTTTCTAGTGCACTGTATACTTGAGAACATAGCCCAATGCAGTCACTGTGGTACCATCTATCGCATTCATCACAGCATATTGCATTATGGGTGTTACGTACTGCCTTGTTACAACTCCCACATAGAAACTTTGGTGGTCTAGGCCCTGGGTTGATCTCAATATCCCCGCTTAAGATCAGAATCATGATCAGTGAAAACTTTGTGCCACTATTGTGCAATAGCATTTTCTTGCTACTGACGTGAGTTCCGTTAGCCCCGCTGTGCTTCATCATGAAAGCAAAAGTGGCCCAGTCAGATGTGCAATCGGTTCTGAAGTTGCATGTGACCTGTACTTTCTTTATCTCCTGTTTGTCTTTTGGCTGTGATCCTGGCTCAGCCCTGCTAAGTACTGTGCAAAGGGCTAGGAATATACAAGTGTAGTGGAGTTCCATTTTTATTCCCATAACCGCGGGACCCAGTCACCGCTCCTGTTATTCCGGAATTCCTTAGCGGGACCCAGTCACCGCTCCTGTTATTCCTTAGCGGGACCCTCTGTCACCGCTCCTGTTATTCCTTAGCGGGACCCTGTCAGTGTCACCGCTCCTGTTATTCCTTAGCGGGACCCTAGAGCTGTCACCGCTCCTGTTATTCCGGAATTCCTTAGCGGGACCCTAGAGCTGTCACCGCTCCTGTTATTCCTTAGCGGGACCCTAGAGCTGTCACCGCTCCTGTTATTCCTTAGCGGGACCCTAGAGCTGTCACCGCTCCTAGTTATTGTTCCTTAGCGGGACCCTCTGTCACCGCTCCTGTTATTCCGGAATTCCTTAGCGGGACCCTAGAGCTGTCACCGCTCCTGTTATTCCTTAGCGGGATTACCGTACAAGATTACTACAGATGTGCTTGCCTAATTTAATTAGCCCGGCTAGGTTCTGAATACATATGTAAATTTGTTTACCAAACGGCGGTCGGACGTGTCGCCGACATGCTCAAATCATACAAATGCCACAAAAATATACAGTACGTACCAAAGACTAACAACAAATATCAGTACCAACTACAGTATCTGTAATTATTGATCACCAAGTGTGTTTCACAAGTAATGTTAGGCCAAATATTCACATACAGATGCGGATCGCCCTCCCACGCTATACACTATTCATATGCAAATACGTCTATCAGTGTTGGCGCCCGAGACGCGACGCCAAATATATGTTCAAGTGAATCAAGTCCCTTACAAATTATACAAAGACCTTCCAAATATATCACTACGAAAATCTGTGGTCCAAGTTACTAGTGTAACGACACGTCGTTCTATGATTCCTAGATTACAATATCTATACTAGTATACGGTTGTCCTCCCCACACAGATACGTTACGGCTCGTACTCGTCGCCCTCCCCACTCGGTACGTGGCGGTTTACAAGACAGTAAAAATTGATTCAAAATCTAAAAATGCCACCATTTATCGGTTTTACAAGTCCACAATACGTTCAAGTATTACTTGTGGGCTAATCTAGAACAAAAATCCAAGCAAATTAGTACAATAAGACGTAAAAATGGGAAAATACTCGGGAGCTCTCGTGTTTGCTGCCGCTCACCTCCGCGCCTGCGCACTCATAGACGAAGAGCCACACTTTAGACTTAGTGCATAGGTAAACTAAACACCTGGGGCAGGGAAACATCGTCAACAATGAGCACATTTCTATACATGATATAGACAGGAAATATGGAATTAGGGACAAACTTATATAAACCCTATCTAGACCAGGGGGGGGGGTGTAGCTAAAAGTGCCCGCGCCAACTTTGATGTCGGATAACGTCTGAACGGCTCGCGATAGAACCACCAAACTTACTGACTTTTCCGTCATATTACGTCATGACATCAAGATTGTTTTATGATTCTTTTTCACTAGTACACCATCCTCTGAAATGAGCCCACATGGTCCCACAAAGCCCAAAAAAGCCCGGTCTAGATAGGGTTAAACGGCCATCAGCCCATTCCAAAACAGGGAAACAATTTCAGCTCTAGGGACTTGTACAAGGTTTGTATTGAGGACATGAAAATACTGTTAGTTTATACTGTTAGAAAAATGAGAACGATGTCGTCACTAGCTACAAGGAAATTCTCTCAGCACCAGTAACAGGAAAACACTACCAGCTGAAGGAACAAGGCAATATTGTTGACACTTGACACGAGCTAATACTACAAGCTTTAAGGCAAGAATCAGTCAATACCAGGCATAGAGAAAGAGAAATGTTCAGCATCGACGAATGGAAATCATTATCAGTAACAGGGACAGCAACATTTGGCCAGTGCCGAGAGCATGGAATAAGAAACATTATCACCATAGCGATTGAAGAGAATAACTTATTTTGCCATTCGTCTACTATAAATAATTAGCTCAGTAGACTATTAACTAAAAGAAAAAAAAGGTTACACCGTCTATCGACTTATTCTATCGACTAAGAAGTTAGTGCCCGGATTAGACATTTTGGTCAAACGTAGGTCTTGCTTGACGGGTTGACATGGTCTTCTTATTATATAATAGAATAATACATAATTATCTGCACGCTCCTCTCTGAGTAATAAAGAAGAAATACACTGAGCTGGGCTGGTAAACTTTAATGAGCGAAATAAACAGAGCTCAAATCACCAGGATCAGACCCAGCGGGAGGCGAGAAAAAA